AACTTTATGTGTCTTTGTGGTTTACTTTTTGGGCATGAAAAGCTGGTTCCCTAAGCTTCCAGATCTCTCTTTTGATTTTATTTTGGAGTGGCCAGATTGCTTTTGTCTTCAGGAATTCCCACAGAGGCCCAAGTCAGATGAGGATCAGATGCTCTCAGGCTTTCTCCTAAGGTCTGGAACCCTCCAGGAAAGATTTTGGCCTCAGGAATTTGGGAGTTGGACTGGCCTGGGAGCAGGGCCCAAGAAAGATGCTGGCCTAGGGCAGGTGCAAAGGGAGATGGGGGTGGGAAGAGGCCCCAAGGACTCCTGGGAACTTGGTTGGACTGCACTGAGGAACTTCGTTGGTCTGGATGCATAGGATCAGGAAGTGGAAAGGTCAGCCCAGATGTCCCAGAAAGAGCCTGTCAGGTTGTGCAGCCCAGGGAAGCAGAGGGAGGTGAGGGCTGGGCCAGGCCCAGAGGGCTCCTAGGGACTGGAGAAGGAACTGGGTTGGTCTGGATGCAAAGGATCAGGAAGTAGTGGTGGTTTCCCAGGTGTCTGGGGTGACAAGACAAGGAATGGGACAGGTCCCAGGCTAGGAGGAGAGATGGGCCGGGGAGATGGGAGGGTAAATGAGGCTGGGGGAGTCAAGGCGAGGAGGGTGGGATCGACTTACCCCAGAGAGAGGCCTGCAGGTAGTGCAGGCCCAGGGAAGCAGAGGGCTCCTTCTACTTTTGTGAAGGGCACTGATCCCATTCATAAGGGCAGATCGCATGACTTTATCACCCAAAAGCCTCCCCTCTTCATAACGTTATACTAGGGATCCAATTCCAACACACGAGTTTGGGGAGGAAACCAACACTAGACCATAGGTGTAGATTTACTATAAGATAAAATTTTTTCTTTAGTTTTCTGACCCATGTTTAGGGTAGCAAGTATTCTGAATATGCTCAGTTCTGATAAGGAAAAGTACAATGTCTGTTAAGTGATGCTGATTTTTGCATATCTATGTTTTGCACTGCAAACCCTAAGAAGCCCTTCCAGGTATCTTTCTCTGTATAAACTCTGAGAGATACAGCATCCATGAATCATATGATGTATTAGAGTGAAATTTAAAATTAGATAAATGCAAAAAGATTTTTAAAAGCAAAGAAAATGTTTAATATTGTTGAATTTTATTAAATAAAATAAATTCATTCACAATGGGAAAAGATCACAAACTGCCTGAAAAGACCAGCATCAATATAGCCAGATACAGCCTGGCACAGAACCCAATTCACTCAGTGGACAGATGGAAATATGTAGGAGAGTGCTAGGGAGATGGCTGAGTGGGTAAGGGACTTGTCACAAGCATAAGGACCTGACTTTGGATCCTCAGAACTCACATAAGCCAGATGCAGTAATATGCATCTGTGATCCCAGTGCCCTCCTTAATGAGATGGGAGCAGAGACAGGAGAGTACCCTGAAGCTCATAGGCCAGCTAGCCTGGTACTAACAGTGACAAATAAGAGACCCTGTCTCAAAGAAGGTGAAAGGTGAGATGAGGACCAGCACCTGAGGTTGTCTATTGTCCACCATGACTTGCACCATTCAGATACAGAGAGAGAGAGAGAGAGAGAGAGAGAGAGAGAGAGAGAGAGAAATTTTTAGACCTGTGCATTGAGTCTGAGACAAAAGGTAATAAACGCCTGCAGTGAGAGGAGTAGACGTGCCGTACTCAGTCTTCTTGCCCCAAATGCCAGTGATATGAACAACTAGAGATAATATAAGCTCCAGGGTGCTTCCCTGTCCAAAGAGTAATTATGTTTGCTTCTGGCAAAAAATACTGTAAGAGCAAAAGACCTACATGAAGTTACTGAATTACTCCAAGTAGGCTAGGCAGCTGTAAGAAGTCCAGTTCTCCAGGTCTGACCACTTGAGGAGAAAGCTCTCGTTGACAGCAGTTTAGGACAGCATGCAGTCCTAAATGATCCTGGCCAGTTTTCCAACTCTTCCTCATGCTGCTCTGGAGACCTGGACTCTTTCTGCTTTACAGGTAGCAACTTATTGATCTCAAAAAACCTTTCTTGGCCCCATGCTACTACTGTGAAAACTGAGACAGTGTGCATTGGAACAGAGGGCAAGTCATGATGAGACAAGGTACATGAGTGATGAGGAAATGGAGGTGGCAGTTGGAGCTTGCTCTGAGAGTGTGGACATGAAAGTAGGAAGGAGTTGAGACAGGAGGAGAAGCACTGTGAGGTGATGGAGCAGCGAATGTCATTGAGCTCTCACTGTGTGCTGGCCACAAATCTAAGTCCTAGGCAAAGATGATCTCATTTTGTCCATTTTATAGTTCAGACGTTATTTGCCCAGGGTCACAGAGCTAGTCAGTAACAGGAATAGAAACATTTTCTGAGTTCAGCTTCTTTTTTTCTGTCCAGTTGTGTTTTCAGACTTCTCTTTTTTAAAAAATATTATATTTATTATTCTTATTTTATGTGTATGAGTGTATTGCCTGCATGTGTGTAAGTGCACCCGTGTCATGCAATGCCCGCAGAGGTCAGAAGAAGGTGTCAGAGTCCCCTGGAACTGGGGTTATGGATGGTTGTTAGCCACCCTGTGGGTGCTGGGAATTGAACCCAGGTCCTCTGCAAGAGCAGTTAGTGCTCTTAACTGCTGAGCCATCTCTCTAACCCCAAGTCAGACTTTTCAGTGACAAAATGCCTGACAGAACAATGTAAAGAAAAAAATATATCTTGGCTTATGGTTTAGAGGTTTCAGTCCATGCTGACTGGGTCCATTGCTGTGGGTCTGAATGAGGCTGAGTATCATTATGGGGAGCCTTAGAAGATTAAAGCAGCTCACCTTCCCACAGACAGGAGACAAAGACAGGGAGAGGACCTGGGACAAGATGCAGCCCCCAAGAACGTGTCCCCAGTGACCTACTTCCTCTAGCTCAGCCCTTCTCATAAAGTTCCAGAACCTCTTAAAACTGCAGCCAGCTGGGGGCCAAGCTGAGGCACATACAGCCATGGAGTACATCTCATATCCAAACCAGAGCACCACTAGCTTACTCAGCCCCACATCGATCTCTCTCTCCCCATGTCCCTCTCCTCTCCCTGTGTCCCCCTCCCTTCTCCTCTCTCTATACATTCTTAGGTATAGCCAGATGTTTTAGCAGATAATTATTTTCTCGTAGTTTCACATATGATGGTTGGATTTAAATTTCTTGAGGTCAGAGACCACCTTCTGTCTTTTTCCTATCGAGAGTTCCTAACATTAGACAATACTAGACAATGCTAGTATATTGCATGTGCATGCCTGAAAATATTTAATGGTGTTATTTTGTTAATTTAAATGTTCCAATAAAAAGTTAATAGAGGGTGTAATTACTTAGATCAATTTGTATTAATTATTCACTTTCTTTGTTTTTTTCATTTTCTTAGATAATATTTCCTAGATTTGTTGCCATGTAGCAGTTAACATATTGACCACAAAGGATTTCATTTTCATTTTCTTCCAAGTTGCAATACGACAGTCCTGTATTAATGTGCCTGCTACTTTGTTAACAGGTAGATGCTGGCTGGATTGGATTTTGGTCCATAGTTGGAGGCTGTGTTGTTGGAATAGCTATTGCAAGGTAAGAATATTTCATATCAGTCTTGTGAATGGACAGGTGAGCAAGGCAAGTCAAAGAAGAAATAGGCTTCCTAAGTAAACATTAAAACCCAGGGAAGAGGGGCTGGAAAGACGGCTTAGTGGTTAAGAGCACTTACTGCTTTTGTAGAAGACCCAGGTTCGGTTCCCAGGACCCATATCAGTAATTTCAGTTCCAGGGGAATCCTATGCCCTTTTCTGGCCTCTGCAGATGTTGCATACACATGGTACTCATACATACAGGCAGTCGAAAACTCACATACATAAAATAAAAATAAAATGATAAATCTTTGAAAATCAGGGAAGAGGGGCTGGAAAAATGGCTCACTGGTTAAGAGCACTGGCTGCTCTTGCAGAGGACCCAGGTTCAATTCCGAGAACCAATATATCAGCTAACAATTGTTTGTAATTCCACTTCCCTTTAGCCTCCATGGGCATTGCATGACACGAGTGCATTTACATGCATGCAGGCAAAACATTCATCCTCATAAAATAAAAATAAATAAATAAATAATTGAATCAAGGAAGAATGAATAAGCAAGGGTAAGCAAAGGCTGCTTGTTCATGGACCAAGAAATATCTATTCAGTAGAAAGGATTTGCTTCCATAAGAAGCCTGCTTGGGAGCAGTTTTCCCAAAATGGATTTTGGAGACCAGAAATATATTTCTGGTGTAATTAAGCTCCTCCTCTCCATATTAGAGAACACCCTCTCCAAATATCAGCCAAATGAAACAAGTAAATAAATAAAGGTAAAGCAGTAGTTAACAAGAGCAGAATAATTAAAAAGTCATGTATCAGAGTATCTCTTGAACCTTGCATGGCAGGCAGTCTCCGAGTTTGGGAATATTATTTCTAGCTTTTATGGCAGGTATCTCTCTACATTTATCCCATTTTGATGAAAAATGTCCATAAAGGCTTCCAGTTTCATCAAACTCTCTTTAATCCTAACCCATTATGACAACACATTCTTTGAATGAATCAGAAGGAAGGGGGAATCTCATTTATCTTAAAAAAAAAAAAAAATGAAAATGTCACCCTTTCTAGTGACTTTCAATGAAGCGCCTCCTGGTGTTTCCAAAGAAAGTATTCAAGTACCTTCCAAGTCATTTTGCCTGTTTCATCAGAAGTAAAGTTAGCCAATCACTTAATCCGAAAGAGGAGAATCTAATTACATACTTGAAGAGCTTATCCTATAAGATATATAAAGCACCTCAATATCTAAATACTTAAGCACAATTGGCACAAGATAGTATATGTAGACCTTACAGGTTTCACATACTGTTTCTGGCATGATGAAAAAACAAATAGGCAGTATAACTTCCAAATCACTTTGTGGTTTTTATGTTAAAAAGTGTATAAGAATAAAATTCAAGGGGCTGGAGACATGGCTCAGCAAATAAGAACACTGACTGTTCTTGCAGAAGACCCAGGCTCGAATCCCAGCACCCACATGGCAGCTAACAACTGTCTATAACTCCAGTTTCGGGGATCCGACAGCCTCTTCTGTCTTCTGTGCACATTGCACGACACAGATGCACTTACCTACATGCAGGCAATACATGCATACACATAGAAAATAAAACAAAAATAATAAATAAAAGAACAAAATTCAAAAGATTACTTGTAGGAAATTACTTCACTGATTCTGAAATATATTGACTTGACACATTTTAAAAAGAATCAGATGCATTTTTTCTATAATAAATAATAAAAATTGGTAAATTCAAAATTGGGACCAAGTGTTTGACATTTTCTTGGGGGGAATTCCTATGAGACTGTGAACCCCTTTTCAGAATATGTGGATGTTTCTGCTTGTGAGCTTTCCTAGAAGAGAGCAAACCTGTCACTAAGCAAATATGTCCATTTTCCCACCAAAAGATGGCACCAGTTTTCACTTCATAGAAAGTCCTTTTAGTCTAAAAAACACAATGATAAATAACCACATCATATCAAATAAATGAAAAAACACAGTATGGTATTGAAAGGGTTACAAAGGACAGCTACATAGTTAGAGTAGAAATTACAGTCACCTTTTAAAAAGTCAAAGTGGATAGAACATGGTAAAAGTTAGATTGAGGACAGGGTCAATTTTTCTATGATAGGAATAATTCCAAAGAATGGAGCAACTGTGTACAATCACAGCCAGAGCCTGTACCATCAACAGTTGATCTGCATGGGAAAAAAAAAAAAAAAAAAAAGCAGTTGGCAAATGGAAAATGAGAATTGGGGGAGATATGGCCCGGCTTTAGTTCTTGTTGATCCAGGAAAAGGGTAGCGATTTTTGAGAACTTAAGATGCTGTAAAACTCATGAGCTTTATAGGATAATATCCAATATACTTTTTTTCCCTCAGACTCGTTTCAGGTTCTTATTTTGTAAGCCAGACTGGACTTGAATTCTCCCTCCTCCTGCCTCATCTCCTGAGTGCTGGGATTACAGCCGTACACTACCATACCAGCTTAGGTGCTATGTTCTTACTTCGGGAAGCTTACAGTCTAGTAGGGAAGACATGAAATAAGCAAATGCAGAAATAAGACAGTTTCCAACAGATAAAAATTGCTGTGGGGATTTAAAACAAAACGTAGGGGCATTGTGAGGAGGACTTCTTCAGTGAGCTCAGAGGGCATGTTCTTCAGTGAGCATGGAGGGCCATGTTGAGCTGAGACCGAATGACCTGAGTGATAAGTGGAAGTGAACCATCCGAGGGTCTGGGGGTACTGCTACTAGCACTGGTGACAGATAGCAACCAGCTAAAGACTGCTGTGGGAACCAACCTTAGCACAGATGAGGACCAAAAGGCTGTGCCCGACTGGAAAAAGGAAGGAGGAGAACAGAACAGAGCCAGGTCAGGTGTGACTGCAGATGTTCTGGAAGCATTTGTGTGGGTTCTTTGAGTTTGCAGGCGGGGAGAGCCATCCTTGCAAGTCATTGTGGATTCTAAAACTAGGCTAGTGTGTGCTCATTACAGAATGTTTAGAAAGCATAAAAATAAAATAAATGTTGATTTAAAATTCAAAATCTATTCTGTGACTTACACTCTAAACATTATATTTTTTGTTTTTTAAGAGGAAGAAAATTTTATTATATATAAAATTATCTTTTAAAATTGTGCATAGAAAAATCAAATAGTAGTTGCTTGAAGAAGGCGTGCTACTAATTTAAACAATACTTGAAAGTCCAGCTGAAATTAATTGGATATTGTTTCTTTTCAGGTTTGCAGATTTTATTCGTGGTATGCTGAAACTAATTCTTCTCCTCCTATTTTCTGGGGCCACGTTATCATCCACATGGTTCACCCTGACCTGTTTAAACAGCATCACACACCTGCCTTTGACAACAGGTGAGTACAGGTTATTTTTGAGCTTGGGATATTTTCAGTCCTACACTAGGCGTGGTGACACACACCTTTAACCCCAGCCTTCTGGAGGCATATGCAGATAGATCTCTGTGAGGCCACCCTGGTTCACATAGTGACTTCCAGGCAGACTGTGACTAGGGAGACCCTGTCTAAAAACAATCAACAAAACACACACACACACACACACACACACACACACACACACACACAAATATATATATATATTCAGTCCGTAGTTTGAGAGTGGGACTTTTCCTTGCTGTCTTAATTGTTCCATATATGAGGAAGCAGACTTCAGAGATGACTCAGTTAATAAAGTGCCTGTCCACAAGAACAAGGACTTGAGATCGGTACTTATGAGTCCAGAACCTATGTAATAAGACCAGGGCGAGGGCTAGAGAGATGAGTCCGCAGTCAAGAGCACATACTGCTCTTGCCGAGGATCCAAGTTCAGTTCTCAAAATCCACATAGGGCAGCTCACAAACCACCTGCAACTCCAGCTCCAAGGGGTCCAGCTCCCTTGGACTTCAAGTGCCCCTGCACTCATATACACATATGCACATACATATATCTAATTTTAAATGATTTTTTGAAAACTCTGAGGGTGGTGGTATGCTCCTGGGGACAGAGACAGGCAGATCCCTGAAGCTCATTGACTGGCCATCCTATCTAAATCAAGGAGCTTCAGGTTCAATGAGAGTTCTTGTCTCAGAGATAAAAGTGGAGAAGGATTGAGGCCAGACACCCAACATCAACTTCAGGACTCCACCTGAGTGCACACTCATGTACATGTGCAGCTGCACATGTCGTATATATATCGTGCACATATGAATAATGAGGTTCTCTAGTCCAAGCATCATAATACCATCCCAATAAAAAAAGCCCAAGAAATAGCTAAATATTTTTGTATATGGAAAAGAAATACCCTCTTTAGATTAAACTCATATAGCATGAAAATGGTTACATTTGTTTAAATTCACACCAGATAATAACACAAAGATTTTATTTTGCTTATAATCATTATTAAACAGTAATGTAAAAGCAAAAGGCTGTTTATATTTAAAATATACCAAAAGGGCCTAAAGATCTGGCTCAGAGGTTAAGAGCAGCTAGGTTCTTACAGAGAATCTGGGTTCGGTTCCCAGCACCCACATGACCACTAACAACTGTCAGTAACTCCAGTTGCAGGGGCTACGATGCCCTCTTCTAGCCTCTGTGGACATTGCATGCGTACACAGGTGTACTCACATGCAGGCAAAACACTTATACACATAAAATATAAATAAATCCAAAAAACTAAAAAATAAAATAAAACATACCTTAATACAGCTCTTTGAACTAGCATCTATAGCTTTATTTTATATTGAGTTCTATTACATCATTCTACAAAAGCAAAATTTCTAGAAATGCCTTCTAAAAGTATACCATAGCCAGCTTACATAGCTCATGTAATTGACCTGAAGCTTTGTAATTGCTTTTTTTAATCATTATTATATGTTTTGAGTCTTTTTCTATTGTTGCTGTAATAAGTTACATCAAGTTAGTAGCTTAACAACAACACAAGTTTATTATGATATCTCTGTGGATTGGAAGGAGACCTGCCATGGGCCTCACCTGAGATCAAGTCAGCATGGGCAGACTAAGGAAGTCTGTTTTCTCACCTTCGTAGGCCTTACTTTTATTCTCACCCTCCTCTCCCACCTCCCTCCAATTTCAAGGATCCTCGTGCTCACCATGGGCTCACTCAGATAATTCAGAATAATTTCTCAATATCAGACTTGGTGTATTAGCAACCTTAATTCCATCTCAACTTTTAATCCCCTTTGCCATGGAAGGTAGCATATTCTTGATTGATCACATTCTTGATTGATCATTAAGGGAGAAAGTCATCATTCGACTTCAGGCTCTCCTGCGAGTTACTCTAATGGTTTATTATGTAAGATAAGGGACTCTGCTACTGTTTCTTCCTTTCTTCTAATAGAAAATTGCTTGAGGTGGGTATTTCTTATTCCTCTCACAAGTAATTTTTAGCCACCTTTTGGGTTAGGTGCTCAATTATAGGATTATTATTTCTTGTAAAAGTACATTGAGAATTAATGTTATACCAGCATTTGATGAGGGGGTAAATAAGAATCTGAAGGCTCCATGGGGGCCAATTGCCATGTTCCATGAGTCCCTGAGAAAGAGGTTCCTTTTTTCTCCATATAGTTTAAGAATACTGCATATCCCAATTTGGATTTCTGCAGTCTGTAATAAAAGAACCAGGATTTGTCTATCAAAGGCCTCAAACTTGGAGTTCCAGCCACTTTCACAGAAATAATAGACAGTAGAGTATGACTGCAAAACTGTTCCTGCAAACTCACAAGAGCCGCACAGGGACCCCACAGTGAGACACTGCTGGAGCCTCCAGTCAGGAAGTCCCAGTGTCAGGAATAGACTAGGCTGTGTTCACTTGTTCTAATGATGTCATATCCTTGCAAAGTTAGTTTTTCAACAATTGCTGTGGTAAAAAGAAAATAGTGCACAAACTGACCTGGATTAGGAAATGAGCTTAGCAGTATTCGATGTGATTCTGAATTGGAGGTGCTCATCAGAGGCGTACATCCTGCAGCAGAATGACAGTCATCTGAGAATGGATTCAAGCCTTTTCTTTCAGTTTATGGGTATTAGTTTTTAAATGATTACTAAGTTGTTAGGACATGTGCATTTATTAAACTGTTTGCACCAAAATGTGTAATTGACAGAACTGTTAGGTATTTGTTTTGAAAGCCTTAGAAGCACCATTAAAATGTGGGGCTGGAGAGATGGCTCAGTGGTTAAGAACATTGGTTGTTCTTGCAGAAGACCCAGGTTTGAATCCCAGCACCCACATGGCAGCTAACAACTGTCCGTAACTCCAGTCCCAGGGGATCCGACAGCCTCTTCTGACCACCGTGGTCATTGCATGACACGGGTGCACTTACCTACATGCAGGCAATACATGCATACACATAAAATAAAAATAATAAAAAAAGCTTTTTTTAAATGTGGTGCCATACTCAGATTGAAGAAGGTGACTAGCAAGTGGACTCAATGGTAAAGGTGTGTGCTGACACCCTAGTTCCATCTCCAGGACCAGCATGGTGCAAGGAAAGAGTTGTCTCTCTTGCCAGGCGTGGTGGTGCACGCCTTTGATCCCAGCACTTGGGAGGCAGAGGCCGTGGATCTTTGTGAGTTTAAGTCCAGCCTGGTCTACATAGCAAGTTCCAGGCCAGCTGGGGCTACAGGGAGACCCTGTCTCAAAAAGACCAAACAACAACAACAAAAAAGTGTTGTCTTTCCACACATGCACCCATATACATGCACAATAAATAAATTAATTTTAATTTTTTTAATTTAAAAAACAGGGAAGGCTGGGAAAGCTGTTTATGCTCTCCTGCCAGCTGTCCTGTCTTGAGTGTGTGCACTGTTTCACCATGAAGCCTGGTTGTCCTGCGTAGTAGATACTGACTAAAATCTGTACTCTTTATATACCAGTGTTCCTACATTGGAGTTCCAAACAATTTAGGCAAGTATTCCAGTAGAGATTTGTATTTGCTTCATTGTGGGGTACTTTCCTAGTTTAGCAGTTGGCCAGCACTCCAGCAGAACAGTTTTAGTATACAGCTCCTCTTATCCAGGGAATTAGGCAGAGATCTTTTTCATGATACCATACGGCAAGTAAGCATCTGTGAGATTTTACAGGAACAGAGTCGTGAGTGCTTGATGAACAGATTTCTTTCCCTCCAATTAAGTGTAGAATATTCATTATAAGATAGCATGCATGTTAAATTTAAGGTGTTTCTGTTTAACATGACAGAATTAACAATTTTATCTCTACACAGAGGTTTTAAGAGGGAATTTAATTTTTCACTTACATTTTTGTCTGGATTTGTTACTGAGTTGGGGATGGGTATATTCGGAAAATATGTGTCGTGTCTTTTTAATCTTCCACTGATGTGGCTGACCCTGGTCAAGACTATGTTTTCCTAGTCTCAGGTTGAAGAGAATTATGCTGGACAGAAAGGAAAGCAGGCTTCTAAATTAAGTCAAGGCGAGCATTGAAAGGTTGAGTTTGATGTAGCCATCCAGGCAACCAGGAAATTTATAACTTCTACTGTTGTTTTCAGTTGCAAGTCAGTTTTTTAATGTCACTTAGATTTCCTGAAAGATTATTTTTAACTTATTAAAACACTAAACTAAGAACTAGATTTGTGCATACCCCTTCTCTAAGGTCTATAGCCTCTCCTTTTTCTTAGTGTTCTTTGAGCGTATCTTGTCTTGCTTGACTGAAAATCTGGAGCATGGAACCCCCAGCACCCAGAAAAGAAAGAAGGGAAAAAAAGAAGAGGGGAGGGGAGGGGAGGGGAGGGGAGGGGTGTATTATATCATCCTGAGTCTCCATAGATCAGGCTTCCTGCCAGCAGGATTCAGCACCCTCTGGCACTCTTTGTCATGCAGCACTAGTTGTAGGACTCATTTTAATGGAACAATGGGGAATTCTAATAAATCTATCACAGATACTCTCACTGCCTTTGTAAAAATCTGACCTAATTCCTTTTAAGTAAAAGAGGTTTCAAGAAAGGGAATTTACTACAGAGTCTAATTATGGGCAAATCTAGACCTTTAGGTTGATATTTAAAGTCTGTAATGGCAAAGTCGTGTTTCTGTTTAATGGTCCTTCTTAATCAGGAATATGTCTAGTCTTTTTCCTCGTTCCTAACAAATTTAGGATTTCTATTACAGGTTTTTGTAAGTCAGGAGAACCTCCATGAAAAGTGTGAAGCACAGTCCTGTGCTACAAAACAGTGTTTCAATCAAAACCAGGCAGCACATGACAGTCCCTTGAGACTGTCGCCTCATAGCATCTTAACTGGCTCAGTTTGTGTACGTGTGCTCTGGTATTCCAATAAGGACAAGAATCAACAAACAGCATGTTTCTCAGAACCCACTCATCGCTAAA